GGCGGGCGGATTACGAGGTCAGGAGGTCGAGACCATCCTGGCTAACATGGTGAAACCCCGCCTCTACTAAAAACACAAAAAATTAGCTGGATGTGGTGGCGGGTGCCTGTAGTCCCACCTACTTGGGAGGCTGAGGCAGGAGAATGGCGTGAACCCAAGAGGCAGAGCCTGCAGCGAGCCGAAATCACGCCACTGTACTCCAGCCTAGGCGACAGAGCAAAACTTTGTCTCAAAAAAATTAAAATAAAATAAGTTAACCTGGCACAGTAGCGTGTGCCTGTAGTTCCAGCTACTTGAGAGGCTGAGGCAGGAAGACTGCTTGCACCCAGGAGTTAGACGCTGCACTGAGCCATGACTGTGCCATTGTACTCCAGCCTGAGTGACAGAGTGAGACCCTGTCTCAAAAAAAAAAAAAAAAGGATTTTGTACATCCTTCCATATTTGCACAAATACATCTACCTCAAGTTAACTTTCATAAAATTCTATTGTGTGAACATTCTATGACTTATTTAACCATTGGACTATACATAATACCACAACAAACGGCTTTGTATATGTATGTATATATCTTTATGCACACGAGTGTTTATATAAAATGAATTCTTAGAAGTAAAATTTCTGGATAAAGAGCATGACTATTTAAAATTTTAAAGATATTGCCAAACTGTTGGGCTATTACTTTTAAGACATTACCAACTTATTTTTAGCTCTGAAATGAAATAATTTTATACTGCATTTATACTGATTATACAATTGTAGCGTCCTTGGAATTTATTTAGTTGAATCATGATTCCATATTTAATTGAATCTATGATGTCATCTTGTATAAAACATTCTTATTTTAGGTATGTTAAAAGTGAGAAAAATGTCCTCCTTATATTAGAAGGAAAAATGATTCCTAGCTGTCTTAGAAAATGATTAATCACTTCTACCGAGAAAGTAACAGACAACAGCAAATCAAATTTTTAAATTTACTAATTAAAAAGAGTACATTTCCAAAGTATTTTTATATATGATATGAAACATGTAATGGCAAACTGGACAAAGCTAGGGAATTATTCACATTAAGAAAGCTTTAGAAGGCCTGTAACATCTGGATAATTAGTAATTACAGAGCATGTTTTTCCCTGTCACAGGCATTCACAGCAACAGATCACAAAACAAATCAAGCCACTCAACTATTTTCTAACATGATAAACCTTGACCCATACACCAGTGTCAAAAAGAGATGGTCAGTTATCTATTAGCAAAGACTCTTATTGATAACAACAGGCAGCTCTCTTAACTGAATTTGACTCATTCAACACCACACAATTCATCTTGATCTTTGATAAAGAAGTCACTTCCAGAGTTCAGTCCCCAGACACAAGTGACTTTGGACATCTCTCCCAGAAGCATGTAGAAGCTGGGTATCATTTTCCAGTACTCATGTTTGAGCTGAATAAGGTAATACGAATACTCCCCTAACATCCTGTTTTATTTTTGTTGTTTTGTTTGAGGTACCTAACTTCTCAAGAGATTAACATCAAGAGAGTCAGAATGACTTAAAATAAGATCACTTTTCATCTCAGGCATTAATTTGTGTTTTCTACATTTGAGACCATACTACGTGTATGGAGGTGCATCATGCCTGGAGGTGCAGGAAAAAGAAATACACTAATAAGGTAGTATACTTGAAATGTAAGCTCCCTCTTGGCTAAAGCACAAAGAATGAAATCACGTCAGATAATCTAAACTCTGAATAAAGGTAAGTTCTTTATACTGTGTTTGAAATGTGAACACTAAGTCTATTTAGATTTAATTATGACTGGTTGAAATGTTATAGGTGTTAATAAGCCTCCATCAAATAAGAAAGGGTTTTATAATTACACTTACCAGCATTAATATAAAATCCTTCTTATGTAGCCATCACTTTATTCTGAATTGTTGCAATTTTTATTAAACATACCTTACATTCTTCAGCTATTTTTGCACATGACATGTAAATGTAACCTCTTCTATGACTGGAGTAGCAAACAGATATAAGTTCAGCTCCCATCAACCTCCACTACTTATCTGCCCCACCTCTGCAGCTGCTGCTGGTCTCTTCTCAAATGATCCTCCTGCCTCGGCCTCTCTGAGTGCTGGGATTACAGGTATGAGCCACCCCTGCTGATTTCTTCTTATTCGGAGAAGCCAGAATTCTCAGAGACTCAATTTCTTTCACATCTTGAGTTTTCTTTTGCTATTTAGTTGAGCAATTCCTAATATACTGAAAAATTTGATTTTCACCCAAAGTCTATGCTTGCATCCTCTTTTCACGTTCCCCTCCTGATAGGATTGGAGGACCCTCATAGCTTTCAATATCTTCAAGGTTTTTAAATCACTTTTTCTCCCCTACTCTACCTCATTCTGGCCTACTTCTTGCTACTATCCTTTAAACACACACAGACACACAGAAAAACTCCCAGTGAGATGAACATACAATTGTTAAAACTCTCCAGTACGCCAGCACCTAGCCAACAATCTCCACAGTCAGCTGACTAGTATCTGATCCACAGCATACACTTTCTAATACTTGGGATAATCAAAAAGCAAAGGTGCAAAAGAGCAGGGACTACAGATTACAGCTGGGTTTTAACAGGCGAAGCTCAAAATTTTATAGTACTAAATAAGCTCACAAAAAACTTTTTCACATTTGATTGGGTTGGATATAGAATGTTGAAAATCACCCTTCTGGATCCTTAATAATCCTTTATTACATGCTGTAAAAACAAAGAAAAAGGAAGGTAAAACACACACACACACACACACACACACACACACACACACACTCACTCCCAGAAGGCCAGGGATGAAAGCTGTGAAGGCTAAAATCCCTTCTGGACAGGTTGGAGCATGCTGCTGCTGAACCTGGGCTCCAGCCTCAAAAGGCAACACTAGGTGGCTGGAAAATCAGGCTTAGGTGATTGGCAACAAAGGGGAGCACCTGAATGCTTTGCTACTTCCAGCCCTCCCTTTCTCTAATCCATTCCTTAACTAGTAACTACAACGTGTTTTGGTTTTTTTTTTTTTGAGACGGAGTCTCACTCTGTCACCTAGACTGGAGTGTAGTGGCGCGATCTCGGCTCACTGCAAGCTCCGCCTCCCGGGTTCACGCCATTCTCCTGCCTCAGCCTCCCGAGTAGCTGAGACTACAGGCGCCCACCACCATGCCTAGCTAATTTTTTTGTATTTTTAGTAGAGACGGGGTTTCACTGTGTTAGCCAGAACGGTCTCGAACTCCTGACCTCAAGTGATCCACCCACCTTGGCCTCCCAAAGTGCTAGGATTACAGGCGTGAGCCACCGCACCTGGTCTACTAGTAAATACTTCTATTCTCTTCTTTCTGCAAAATATCTGCTTAGTTCTTATATATGGAAGGCCCTGTGCCAAGGCACTTCGGTCTATAGCTGGAGTGAGCTACTAAAACAAATACAAATCTGATGATGTTACTGCTCTGCTGAAAATCCTTCAGTGACATTCAAGATCCCACAAGATCTGGTCTCTGGTAATCCTTCTAGCCTCATCTCCCACCTCTTTCTGGCCCTTGCAGTCTAAGTTCTGAACACTATTTCCCTGGCTAACTCTTGTCTGTCTGCCATGACTCAGCTTAGATGTCTTGTTCTCTGAGCAAGCCTCTCTTGATCACTCAAGACCAGTTTAGGTATAAAATTACAACCTCTATTTTTTTTCCCCTGACTGAACACTTCTCATCCTTTTCTCCTTCTGTGTGTGAAAATATCTATCTAGTAAAACCAGCTCACAAAATAGCTGATGCAGCTCTTCAACTGTGTCCTTTCCTCATTTTCTCTAAAGCAGTTTTTGAGAGGATGTGATATAGACTGTGTTTTTCAGTTCAAGAAAACGTTAAGGCAACCTTGGTCAGTACAAAGAAGACAAAAATCTGAAGAAAATAAATAATATCTCCATTACTCTTTTTGCTTAATTCTGCCACTTCTTAAAACAAGAAATGTGCCGCAGAGACTACTCTTGGTGCAGTGGACGGGAAGTGGGCGTCGGAAAGGCCTGCTGCACCACACACGCTCTAGGGATCTATCAGTCGCTCCTCTGCTTATCAAAGCTGCACACCTGGTACTGGCCGCCAGGTGGTCCCAAGCACAGTGCAAGCAGGAGCATGCTCCTGCTGCCAGACAGGCACACCTTGCTCCTTCCCTTCCTGTGGGTACTTTTTGGGTTAAAAGAAATAACTAATTTGAAATTTCATTGAGAGTTTTCTTTCAGCTCCATCAATTAAGAGAGACTAGTTACACAATAGCTCTAGCTCTGGCAAACACAGAAGGGCCTGCCTCTTCCAATAGAATCCACTGAGCTCTCCCAGTACCACCCACGAGACCCAACCCTCCACTTTCTTATTTACTTATTTATTCACATGGCCTTTGTGCTTGTATGCTTGTCTGGTCTCTTCTTAAACTGTTAAATTCCTTGAGGGCAGAACAGTCTTTATCTTTTTTGAGACGGAGTCTCACTCTGTCACCCAGGCTGGAGTACAGTGGTGGGATATCAGTTCACTGCAAGCTCCACCTCCCGGGTTCAAGTGATTCTCCTGCCTCAGCCTCCTGAGTAGCTGGGATTACAGGCGCCCACCACCATGCCCCACTAATTTTTGTATTTTTAGTACAGACGAGGTTTCACCATGTTGGCCAAGCTGGTCTCAAACTCCTGACCTCAAGTGATCTGCCCACCTCAGTCTCCCAAAGTGCTGGGGTTACAAGCGTGAGCCATGTCGCCTAGCTGGAAACAGTCTTAGGTACTGTTCCATTTCCAGCAAATTACTGAGTACCTACTATACCTGACACATAGTAGGGTACAAAATAAATGACTGGTGAATGAGTTAATATAGACTTGTTGGTGCCTCATGGAGGGGGAAAAAGAAACAAGTATTGGAAGCTCTCAGGATACACAGTTCATACTATTGTTAGGAAAACGATTCAGCTGGTCATTCTGCGGCTTCTCCTCACCTGATCGATATCGTTCATCCCTGGCTCCCCCGGATCGAGTTCGGTGGTACTTAGAGGGAGCAGAAGTTTGAGCTGTAGATGGAGCAGAAGTTTGAGCTGTAGATGGAGCAGGTGTCTGGTTTCTAAGTTCTTTCTGTACTGCTGAATCAGTTTCTAAAAAAGGAAGTTTAAAAGATGGTTATCCAGTAACAGTAATAGCTAACATTTTCTAAAGCCCTTTAAGCATTCCCACAACACTCTGAGCTAGGTACTATTACCCCATTCACAGCAAAGGGCTAGAGAGTTTTAATATAAATACATAAATATGATGCAAAGACATCCAAACTAAAAAATACCATCGTAGAGCCTTAAATGTCAACAGGCTGATAAGAGAGGAATAGCCAGAAGACAAATGTAAATTAAAAGGCCATTCCAGAGACTCCAAAGAGAGGCAGTAGTGATGGGGAGCTGACTGCATATGACCCCCAACCCTGAACAGTGAGACAACGAATAGCTTGGGGATACCGTCAGTCACTCCAGATAAACATAATTCAAGCAAAAACAGGGAGATTATGCAAGCACAGCTTCAAGCCTATTAGCCCCTCTTCCAACTGCACTCATCGCTGACCCTGTCCTGTCCCCATACTCTGCCCTCCCAAAATATACTGTCTTATCAAGAATATAGGGATGGGGTAAATAAACAGAAAAACACTAAGTTCTGATGTTTTCCTGCCTTTTTATCTCAAATGATTAATTCCAAATTTGTTTCTTAAAAAAATTACAATAAGAAAATTTAACATGAGATGTACGTTTTTAACAAAATTTTGAGTGTAAAATACAGTAGTATTAATATCTTACTAGTATTAATAAGGCACGATGTTATAAAGCAGAACTTACTAACCTTGGATAACTGAAACTTTATACCTGCAGAACAGCAATGTCTCATTTCCCGCTCCCTATATCCCCCGACAACCACCATTCTACTCTCTGCTTTTATGAGCTTGACTCTCTTAGATATCCCATATAAGTGGAATCATGCAGTATTTGTTCTTCTGTGACTGCTTTATTTCCCTCAGCATAATGTCCTCCAGGTTGTCACATATTGCAGGATTTCCTTCTTTAAGGCTTATTTTAAGTTTCTGAAATAGCACCTGGTTATGCCCAGTAAGACAGCTTCCGCACAGCAAATTAAGTGCCCAATATATTAAGATGTCATCTACACAGCAAATGTACTGCTCCAGACCCCAGCTCAGAATCACCCTATAAAGCCAAAAAATTAAGCGGGGTGGGGGGGGAAGACTCAAAGCAGTGGTCTGGGGAGTACAAGCAACAGTGCCACACACCCCAGTAAACACTGATGGCATCAAAGTATTACAGGAACTGAGATTCATAATGACAATGTTTTATCACTTAAAAAGAAAACAAAAAAGCAGGTAGCATGCTGGAAAGGTCATGTGTTGGGGCTCTAGTCAATAGTACTGGCTGAGCCCAGCCCTTCACCTGCCCTGTCAAGGCAGTAAACATTTGAATGAGCCATCTTAGACTGTCCAGAGCAGCCCATCTACTACGTGAGGAGGAAGACAACCACTGAACGACCCCAGCTGGCAACCATATAGAGCAAAATAGTCACCCTGCCCAAATTCCTGGCCCACAAAACCATTATTTCTTTAAATGGTTCTCACACACACACACACACACGGAAGAGTATATTTTAGGGTCTTCTCCACTAATGTGCTTTTAAGGATCTGGAAATGCTGTTTTTGATGGTTCCTCTTAACCGAGCTTTTCATTAGAAAATATATTAACTGAGCAGAAAATGTTTCAGAAACAGATTTTACAATGTCTGGGATTATAACTGAAGTTTTAATCAACCTAAATTCTCTTCAGAATCTATTTCACAGAATAGCTATACTAAATTCTTAACATTTTCCATACCTTGTTACATTTTCTAGTTTTACCAAACAAAAGTAAGAAAGACTCTGTCTCAAAAAAAAAAATTTGTGGAGATTTATTCCCACCTTGGCTCACTTGCAAGGGCAATGATTTATCATGAATGGAGGCAGAAAATGAGCAGCTGGGCAACATAGCAAGACCCTGTCTCTTAAAAAAAAATTAGCTGGGCATGGTAGTGCACATCTGTGGTCCCAGCTTCCTGGAGGCTAAGACAGGAGGATCACTCGAGTCCTGGAGGTCGAGGTTGCAGTGAGCCGTGATCACACCATTGCCCTCCAGCGTGGGGAACAGAGCAAGACCCTGCCTCAAGAAAAAAAGAAAATGCTGAAAGCAAATGCAGTAAAATATTAACAGAAGTTATCCTGGGTGATGAGAGTTTGGATAATTTACATATTTTTCCACAGGTTTTACAAGTTTTCTGTAATTTAGAAAAGCTCTTTTTCTGAATGTAAAATTGATGTTCACCACAGGACAACAAGAAAATAGCTAACTATAAAGAATAAAATTTAAATTATATCAGATTTTCTTAATTATAAGGTCATAACCATGTACAACAGATCCCTACCCAAAATCAGTTAAAACAATATTTACTTGTCAGCTTCCTAAATTACGACACTGAGTAGGCTTTTCCAACTTCCTATTTTTATTTATTTATTTATCTTTTGAGACAAAGTCTTGCTCTGACGCCCAGGCTAGAGTGCAGTGGCACAACCTCTGCTTACTGTAACCTTCACCTCCTGGGCTCAAGCGATTCTCCTGCCTCAGCCTCCTGAGTAGCTGGGATTACAGGTGCCCACCACCATGCTCAACTAATTTCTTTTTGTATTTTTAGTAGAGACAGGGGTCTCACCATGTTGGCCAGGCTGGTCTTGAACTCCCAACCTCCAGTAATTTGCCCGCCTCGCTCAGCCTCCCAAAGTGTTGGGATTACAGGTGTGAGCCACCACTCCTGGCCAGCTTTTCCAACTTTCTAAAAATCAATGACTTCCTTTTCCTTTCCCTGAAAGCAACTGACAAATTCATGCATATTTGGGAGTAAGAGGGAGAAATGTACGTCCTGGTTAGATTTTAAAAATTGTGTTGACTAGGTCAGGCACGGTGGCTCACACTTGTAATCCCAGCAATTCGGCCAGAAGGCCTAAGTGGGCAGATCACCTGAAGTCAGGAGTTCAAGATCAGCCTGGCCAATGTGGCAAAACCCTGTCTCTACTAAAAATACAAAAATTAGCGGGCATGGTGGCATGCACCTGTAGTCTCAGCTACTTGGGGAGGCTGAGGCAGGAGAATCACTTGAACCCAGAGGCAGAGGTTGCAGTGAGCTGAGATTGTGCCACTGCACTCTAGCCTGGGTGACAGAGCAAGACTCTGTCTCAAAAAAAAAAAAAAAAAAAAAAAGTGGAGATTTATTCCCATCTTGGCTCACTTGCAAGGGCAATGATTTATCATGAATGGAAGCAGAAAACAACATACAGGTTGAACACCCCAAACACCCAAATCCAAAACTTTTTGAGCTCCTGTCTAATGCTCACAGGAAATGTTCCTTGAAACATTTCTAATTTCCAATTTTCAGATTTCAGATGTTCAACTGGTACATAAGGTAAATATTCCAAAAATTTTTTTAAAAATCTGAAATCTGAAACACTTCTGGTCCCAAGCATTTCAGATATGGGCTACTCAACCTGTATCTCAGGCCTCATCAAAAAGAGGAGGGAAGGAGTGTGGGGGCATGGGAGGACAGCAGGGCATTATTTAACAGCATATGTAATATCAGCTGGGCAGGCAAGATGCTGCCTCAAGGTAAATCATTCCCTGAACCACGGTTTCACACTCCAACTAGATCTCAGAAATTACCTGGAGTGCTGAAATACAGATTACTGTGTTTTGAATAAGATATACACAGTTTAACTGCCATGGTAAGGAAAAGCTAAAAGCAAAGATGAAACTTAACTACATGTATCAACATAATGAGATACTATATGCCATTAAAAATGAAAAATATGTAGACTATGCAGATACTTCATTCCAAATAAAGTAATGCCAAGTGATAAAAGAACACAAAATATTGTGTACACAATATAATTATAACTGTATGTAAAAACTATTTATATACAATTATAAGGGTCAGGTGGGACAAAAAAAAATCCCTAATGTATTTGGATTGAGGTACTCTCTATTTCTTTACAATTTCATTGTTCTGCTTATAGAATGAATTATGCATAAAACCAAAGACAAATACAAATATGTGCTGGAATGGAAGCTGCCAGACTCACAAATTAAGTCTTCTTCATGACATCTAAATTCTAGCATAAAATAAAATAGAGATCCAAAGAAAAAGACAACTTGCTGATTATTACAAAGCAAGAGCTTCAGGTGGGGGGTTTCTGATCTTTCAGTCTGTTATGCAGAACATCCACTAGGGGTCACCATTATGTTTAAATAGTGATGATGTTAAAAGGTTTAGTAACAATAAAAAGTACACATTTTAGGTTCAAAAACAGAAAGCCTTCCTTCTCAATGACCAACATGTATATAATTTATTGTTCCTTGGCAGAAAAATACATCAGAGTCTAGTATGTTTCTATTGTTTGAATATGGTAAGGATGATAATCTGAAAAAAATGGTATTTAGTAGCACAAAACTACACAACATTTCCACTCAGGAAGATGGAAGGAAGTCACCAGCCTCCACATGTTATCTTTTAACTCTGCTTATGATTTAACAGATATTCTCACCTGCAAGAGTAACACAGTGAAACAGGATGGGCTCTGAGAACAAGGAACCTAATAGTTCAACTTCCGGGAGTTGAACAGAGCAGACATGCCTGGACACATGCCTTGGTGCTAGTGTCCAGAGAAGAAACACATTAAACAAGTGGTCACCATGTGTATACCTTTGACCTTGTGATACATGCTAAGAAGGAAAAGAACAAGGGTCTCTTAATCCACATAATGGGGATTTAACTTGTATTAGAATTTCAGTGAAGATGAATGTCTGTTAAAAGGAGACAGTGATGCAAAACTTAACTAGGCAGAGAGAAGGAAAAGCCACTTCATTCAAAAGCATGGTGTTTGTAGAAGCCCAGTGAAGGAGAAAAGCCTTAAAGTCTAAGACCAGTGGGGCTAAAGATACAGCAAAAGGGTAGAGTGTTACAAAATGAGACTGGACTAGAAAAGTGGCATCAAGTCACTTGCCCTAAGCCGAGTGGGCAGCCTTTGAAGAGA